CATCAAAATGTTTCGAGAATCAGAAAGTATGATCATAAATTATCCCAAGATCTTACACTTCGGTTTATCTGTTAAGGAAAGTATATCCTATTTTGTAACTGAATTCAATAGGGTTTTTTCGCAAAGAAAAGGTAACGATATTACATTTATCAATATTAAAGTATAATTTATTTTCAACGGTCCAATTATATGTTCTATTAATGTCTTTTTGTAGTGCAACACAATCTCTGACGGCTTGAATTTCTTTAAAGCATTTCAAATAATCTGCAAAAATTAGCCAATTAGAAAAATGTAAACATCATATTAGATCATTGATAAATAAAACAAACAACAAAGGCCCCAAGTTTGATCCCTGTGGGACACGCGAGTTGATTTCATAGGGATCAGAGTAAATATCATTATATCTGACTACAAAGTTACGATTCTGGAGATAATTATTGATTAAACCATGGTTGATACCAAATTTGTTGGGTTTGGAAATAATATGTCATGATCAACTTTATCGAAAGCTTTCGAAAAATCTGTATAAATTGGATCAATTTGCTGTTCATTCTCAAAAGTTTTGTAAACATCATTGGTGAATAGGAATAAATTTGTATTTATATATTCGCTTTCATAAAATATAGTTGTCTTTTGATCACTGTTTCTCCGTAAAAATAGCGTCCATTGAACAAAATTATCTTTTCATCATTGTTCTCCATGCTCTTTTATTTCCGGTGGATGAATTTATATTTAGTAGGTATCAGCATTGCACCCGTGCAATGCCGGGGCTAGTCAATTTATAATTACAGCGATGCACCTACCTTTTTTGCAATATTATAATTTCTTGAAAATTTCGAAAATGTCATATTCAGATTCAGAAGTGTCTCAGAAATCCAAAAATGTACAATATATAGGGTGTCCCATTCAAACATTCGGAACCAGAGCTAAAAATGAATCAAAATACAAAATTCAAATCGGAATTGAAAAAGTTTCTGCTTTCTTCCTCTAATTGAAATTCTGATCTCCATATTACATTTTTTTGTTTTTAATTACCATTATAATTCAAAAATGTATACCCGAAAATGGGTGACCTTGTTATTATTATATGTATATTTGTGTTCGTATTTATGTATTTATGTGCTGTACATGTTACTGATATTTAATATTGAAATAATTTATTTAATCATTATTTTAAATTTTATCCCTGTTATAAACATTCTTGTTTCTTGGGATTAATAAAGATTATTATTATTTCCGGTGAAACCGGAAGTGACCTGAAATCAAAAAAATATGTTAAAACTTTCCTCATTATATACCATTCACCTATACAAAATCTCATTTTGATACACCTAATAGTGTAGAAGTTATGACTCGTCTAATAGATTCGTTGACAGCCGGTATGTGTGTACAACTCGTCATAATGTTTTGATTTTTTTTCCAGGCAGAATTGATACTCAAATGGAAAACTTTGCAGAAGTCAGGAAGTATTTTCGTTGGTATAACATTTATGTGATACCAGAAACGTACCTCGCTATGTCTTACGTCGTCGGAGAATGCATAAAAGCATCGCAGATGTCTCTTTTTACAGCAAATTATGGTACCAAATACGTAACACTAGACGAATTCGATTCTCTTCAAACACAGACTTCAAATGTTGTAAGTTGATTTAAAATCCTATATGCAAATGGTATAAAGCATTCGTATGATTTCATCAAAACCTGACCCATTTACAACCCCTCTTTGACTACTTCGCCTACATCCGATACAAATGTTGGTATAAAATGTTTCGCTCAATTGCTTTTCGATTCAAATTTCAATCAACGAGATCATCGCCATGTGGAAAATATTTGCATTCGAATAGAAATGCTGAGAAAAACATAATTGCATTTCCACTATTGGAAATATAATTTTCTGTCCGAGTTTGAGACTGGGCTGTTTATTAGATATACACGACACACGTGTATCATCTGTCGGCAACACTAATCAACGATAATTCCTAACTTTTGATAACTTCCAGACCATCAAACAACTGAAAGGGCCTTGGCTGGAGACCCTCGTGTACAACATTCGAATGTGTATCGGTGATCTGGGCAAAGGATGGTTTGATATCAACGAAAGGAGTTTTGAAACTTATGAAATATCGAAGCTGATCAGATTCATGGAACTGGTCAAATTTGTACCAAATTGGATAACATTATAGAAAATACACACAATTCATTCATGAATTACGATTTTGAATGTCACGGAATAAGCTTGATCTGCTTATGTCATTGATGACATCGAAATGACATTCATTCACCTATTTGATTATATCCCACATCCATGTATAGAGTTACTTATTTGCAAATTGATTACTTCCTTCCTTTTTTTGGAAGATTCCCTCATTCTTTTTTTGTATCAAGATGGAGTAGTAGAAAGCCAAAAACTTTTTTTCCCAAAAATTAATCACTTCTAAAAATATGACCCCTTCAATTCAAGGTAGATACCAAACCACAAATAGAGTTATTAGGATTGTACAATATCTGAAATATATAAAAGTTTAATTTTTTGCAGAAGTGACAGCTTGAAAATCTTTCTGGAACGGGTACCTAATCTTCTTTTTTGTAGGTGCTTTTATATTTCAATAATTCTAAAATACAAATCATGAAATTAATTATAAAACTACAACAAAAATTAATTCCGCTAAAATGCTAAGTGAAAAAGGTTAACCGTTGGTTATCTTTGCGAACCACAAGTATCGTTTATGTCGTTCTTCAAAATCGACTGGGGTGGTTTAGTTTTGTTGTTTCAAAAATTGTAATTTAGAGATATATACCAGGTTTTAATTGAAAGGGCTATATTGTTACAAGAGATTAATTATAGAAATGGAAAAGAAGATAACCAATACCTTTCCTTCCCGAATATATTAGGTTGTTTCAAAAGATTTGTCCGTTATAATGGCAGGTGTTTTTGTAGCTACCTATCTCAATTGATATTCATTCTATTGTGTCGTGCTAGGTATATGTTTGAATATGTTTAAAATATGTTTTTTCCGTTAACCAGCTATCCCACCCCTATGAAGAACAACCCTGAGAAGTCGAAACTTGTGCGAGCTAAGGACTAACGAAGTTTTACTTTTCAACGTGTGAAAAGTAAAACTTCGTTTATAGAGAATTTTGTATTCTATACATTGATGCTGTTAATTTTTTTCAAGTTTGATTTTTTTGCCTCATTCCAACTTATTACTATTGATGTCGTTAAGCAATTTTCGATAATTTTTTTTCTACGAATCAGTCCGAAAAATTAACCAGGCATATGACAATGATGTGTTAATGAACCCACTGTCCGACGTTGGTTTGCGAAATTTCGTTTCGGATATTTGGACGAGTATTTGAGGACTTTGGTGGAAACAGACCCATCACAAACGGTGCTTGGGATGGCGGATGAACTGGGCGACGGCTGCCATGCGGTTTTTGGTGGTTTGAAACGTATTGGAAAGGTCACAAAGCTCGAAAAGTGAAGACCCCACGATTTGAACGATCGACAGAAATTGTCACGTTCCGAGGTCTGTTCTTCTTTGTTTTTGTGCAACCAAAACGATCCTTTTGTGGATCGGATCGCCACGTGTGATTAGACACCGATGAGCCACCCACGCATTTCTTAGAAGCGAAAACACCATGGTTACTAGATGGTGATCAGCGACTGATGTGATTCACCATAACTTTCTGCAACGGGACCAAAACATCACAGCAGAGTCCTATTGTGTGGAAATCGACGAAATGTATCGAAGTTTGCGTCCGAGCAAGCTCCACGACAACGCCCGTTCGCACGTTTCACAAATAATCGTCCGATAATTGAACTATTTGAACATCGAAGTTCTACCTTATCCACCATACTCACCAGACCTCTCGCCAACCGACTACCATATTTTCAAGCATTTCGATAACTTTCTCACCGGTAGAACCTTCGCCAATCAGAACCTGGCAAAACGGCATTCGTCGACCCCATCGAACCCCGAGCACTGACGGTACTAATCGACTTTTGTTAAGTTGACAAAAGTTCAATGATTCAAATTGCGGTAATTTCGATTAATTCGAATCAGCAATCACTGAGATATTAGTTTAAAGTAGACTCATAAAAATGGACAATTTTTTTTTCGAAGATTACTTCATCTAGCATCTGAGAACAGGAAAAAGTTACTGGGGGCTGATCTGGAGAATGCGGTGGATGCGGAAACAATTTGAAGCCCAATACATGCAATGTTGCTATCGTTTTCATTGATTTGTGACACGTTGTATTGTCTTGATGAAACAATACTTTTTTTTTTCTTCAAAACGGGCCGTTTTTCCGTAATTTCGTCCTTCAAACGCACAAATAACGCTATGCAATAGTCGCTGTTGAGATATTTCCTTTCCAGATAGTCGATGAATATTATACCATGCGCATCCCAAAATTCTGATACCATAACCTTGCCAGTCAACTGTTACGTCTATGCACGCTTTGGAGTCAGTTCATCATGGCAGTCCACTCAGCTGACGATCATTTTGATTCTGATGTGAGATGATGGAGCCATATTTCACCCATTGTCACATATCGACGCATAAATTCGGGTTAAAGTAAAATAGCTTCAAATCCTGCTCAGAATTATCAATTGACTGTTGATTTTGATCGATTGTGAGCTCACGCAGCACCCATTTTGAACAGAGCTTTCGCATATCCAAATATTCATGCACGATATGTCCTATGATATTTTTAGAGCCTCATCTTTTTTGATGTTTTTCGTCGGTAACAGCCTCTTTGGGGCATCCGCTGCTTGCATCAACCTCGGTGGTCATGTCAACCCGTTTCAATTCAGCAAACCGCTTCTCAACGGTTGATTTTTCTAGTACAAAGTCCTAATAACGTTTATCATTCAATTTATTCAAACTAATAAAACCAATAGTTCAATAGCTGTGAAATTTGTAGACATTTGTGTCTTTTGAAGGGTTAACTAATAATCATATTGATTCAATACTAGTAGCGCCATCTATGTGTTAGGCTACGGCTTTTTCAGCTCATGTAGTATGTACTATTGTAACTATATATGAAGGGCATATGCTAATGATGTTATACTCAGTTGAATGAAAGAAGATCACCATGATTATGCTGGTTTCTATTCATTCACAATCAATCAATCAATCAAAATATGCTTTATTATCAAAGAATAACATCTTGTTGACAAAGCCCGTATAAATGAAATGAATTAAATCAAATTATATGAATAATATTTATATAATTTTATACTTAGTATACATAGTATATGTAGTCACTACTTTATAAAATTGAATTGTTAAAAAGCAATCAGTCTAACATTCTTTTCTTAACGAGTCTTTCGATGTTTTACATTATTTCTCCACTACATTCAATTTTTTTTGCAGCACACTCTTCGTTTGTTAGTTGAAAATTCCATTCAAATTTTTATAAACATGGTGGAGTCGCCCTGCCTACCTTGCTTGCGCGTACAAGACGATTTTGTTTGGGGACCAGAGTTAACAGTCAGTCCCTTTATTTCGAGGGCGCCACCTCTCTTCAGTTTACAACTGAAAATGAATGAACACGGAGCTTTTTACTCAACCCCTCCAGAATCTTTTCGGGTATGTATTAGCATGCTTAGTAAACTACCGAGGTGTTATTATGAGATGATAAGAAATGGTTCTGATCTTTTCTGAAAGGAGACAACCGTAAATCATTTCAGAAAAGCCAATATTTTGATAGTGAAGTATAGTATAGTATACAGCATAGTACACGATACACACTAGCGTATAATTCAATGCGCTGCACAATAGGCATTGATAAGGACTTTGTCTGAAATACATTGTCTCTCAGACCTAACATCTTCGAGCATTCAACTCAAGGCGCTGCAAAGTATGCGTTGAAACGTATGTTGTTGAAATGCATTGTCCTTTATAAGCCTTAAGCAGACAAGCGTGTGACACTCATTTGTGTTGGCTCATAAGACCCAATGTACGAGGGTGAACACTTCAACGCGCTGCACAATATGCATTGAGATAGACAAATATATTGTCTCTGACGCGAGATTTCAAGCGTTCACTTCAATGTGCTGCAAATTATGCGTTGAAACGTACATTTTCGAAATACATCCTCCTTTATGAGCCAAAATAGATGAGCCGATGCGAGCGTATCTGGCACTAGTTTCTGTTGGCTCATAAGAGCTGAAGCATACGGGCAATTCAATGGGCTTCTAAATATGCATTGAGAAGGACGTTGTCTAGACGATGAGAAATACGTTGCCTTCTAGACCCGAAATCTCGGGCGTTCAATTCAACACGCTGCGAATTATGCATTGAAACTACGTTGTTAAAATGCATTGTGCTTCATGAGCCCTAAGCAGATGAACAAATGCGAGCGTGTGTGACACTCTTTTGTGTCGACTCATAACAAACATTGTTTTTCATCAGCCAATACAGATGAGCCAATACGAGCGTGTGTGGAACTCGTTTGGGTTGGCTCATAAGACTCGATTCACGCGGGTGTATAATTCAACGCGCTTCACAATATGCATTGAGAAGGACTTTATCTGAACGTTATTGAAATACATTGTCTCTCAGACCTGACATCTCAAGCGTTCAACTCAACACGCTGAAAACTATGCGTTAAAACGAATGTTTTTGAAATGCATTGTCCTTTATGAGCCTCAACCCTTTCACTGGCACTTGTCTAAAAAAATGCCGTAAAATTATTTTAATAGATTCACCCATTTAATAAAGGATCAACAATCATATTTCAGTAAAAAAAAACATTTACCCCCTCCCAGCTTTTAGGACATGTACCTCCAGAACGAGAAATCCAGTTTACGCATTTGAACTAAAATACTGTTTTTATCGTAAAGAAAGATTTTATTGTTCAGAACAGTTGGAAATTGAGTAACCATCGACTATGAAATTTTTTGAAACAGTTTCTGTCTTTCAGCAAACATATATGCACTTGGCACTTATTACAGTAAACATGTATTCTTTCCTTGCACCCTTCCAATTTACATGTTGAGTTATATTTGTTTTTATCATATTCCGCAATATGTTGATATCCATCATATCTAGAATCCTTCAGAGGTCTAGACTCATATCTGTTTCTTTGAGATCTATTTTCAAGGTCATCATTGGAAAGTTCCGTTGAAGGCCTGCCCCTTTTTGGGGGTGTTTTAGTAAGTATGAGATGTTCAGCCACAGACTGACGGAAGGCTAGTAAATCTAGGATCTTTTATTGTGGAAGACTCAAATTTGAAGCTTCATTTTTATATTCCAACCATGAGTTTGCTAATGCCAGATCTATGGCGTGGAAAATGAGCCTTATTGTCCATTTTCTTGATCGAACGTAAGAGCGGTAGACACTCAACAAAAAATCATGTTTATCCACATCTCCCATACTGCTGTTGTACCTCCTTACTGCTTCTGGCCTAGGCACTTCAACATATTCCTTTTTTGTTTTATCCCATCTCCTACAGAGGTCTTGCTCTCCAATACCAACAAAATTTGAGGCCAGGATGACCGATTTATTGTCGTATTACTTCGTGATTATTATGCCATCCTTACTGATGCATTCAGCAGAAGTTCCTCTCCTTTTCATTTTCATATCCTTATCATTTGGGAAATTTTGAGGACGAAAACGGTTCCATCTTATTGTTTCCACTGCAAATATTAACTTTGACCAAAGGTACTGAAACAAGTTATAAGAACTGAAGTAGTTGTCAAAAAATGAGGCGTGAGTAGGTTCGGTAATTCGATCAGAAAGCTGCATAACCGTAGCAACTGATTAGCCAAAGTGCATATAGAGTGAGTTCATTTCTGTGGTTGATCCTTGGTAAACGAAGAAATCATAAATCATACCACTCTCTTCAGCCAACACGTAAAGTTTCACTCCCCACTTCTTAGGTTTGTTTTTGATATATTTTATAAAACCGTTTCAAAACCATATTATCTTTTATGATTGAAATTCCATATGCATTGCTCCAATACATTTCAATTCTGGGAAACTGCAAATTTCCCATAATTATATAAGTACATCCCTATAAATTTTCTCATTTGTTGGGGGAAATCTTGCTATATTTTGCTGATTAGCATACAGACTCGTCATATCCACCATTGTTTCAAATACACTATTCGGGATGTACCGTATGAAAAAATCTACTGGGCTAGGCAAGTCAATTACAAGTTCACTTGAGTTATTTCCATTATGCCATTTGACAAATCTGGTTTGATATTGTGCATGAGCCACCCACACAATATCTCCTTTTTTAGTGAGATTGTGCTGGTTATAAACATTTTCAACATAATCAGCTTCATTATATTGGGTCCCGCCGTGAGCGGCACAGATTCTGCCGTTGAGGGCAGAGCTCTTGGTCTTGCCGTTGACAGGCTTTGCTCCATAGTAGACGGTGCTGGTCCCACCATTGATGGTCCCACTACTCCATTCAAGCCACCATCACTTTGTCCATCGGCTTCACTCCCACTCTCCGGATCCTCAACAGGTCCTCCTTCATCCATAAAGACAGCATGCTGATTTTCCGACTCATCCCAGCCCAAATCATCGTCAGATAAAACGGCAATATCTGATAAATCGTCATTTTCCAAAAACAGCAGTAATTCCTCTCCTGTGAGAGCCTTTTGGTTTCGAAATGACATTTTCTGAAACAAAGAAAGTATTTATCCATTCTGAAAATCATCTAGACGAATTTCTACCAAAAACTATTTTTGTCCAAAGTGCATTTGTCGTTGTGCAGGTACATGGTTTTTGCAATATATTTTCTAAGGCGTATAAGAAAATTTCAGTTACTAACAGAATTCTATTACAAAATGTAGTATTTATACTTACCGAGAAGAACAGAGTGAATCAGATAATCACAATTCCACTAAATGAAAATAAATAATCACGTGATACTAGTTACACACACTCGCTACATCGCCATGACATGACAACACATGATTGAATTATCTATGAACAATTTGTTCACGCCAGTCTCAACTCCCTACACAGTAGGTTAATGGACTGACACCTATCAGAAAACAACTACTCCCCTGGCTAATACCACGAAGGGCGTTGGATTATATCCGACAGGTGTCAGTGCAGGATTCTTCACAGAAGTTATTCCTGCATATGTGTTGGCGATACAACTGCCGCAATAGATTTTCAATTATTGGAACACACTTGCAGACCGGTTTCGGGCTGTTTGGCCACTCGTCAGTGCAAGGTAGTGTACATCATCAACATAAAGTCGATGATTTCCGATAATTGAAAATCGAATTCCGTCAGAGTATCATTCCTCGAACTAAGCTGTAGCATACAACAAACAACAGGTTTGTCGTCGCCCCACCTGCCTGTGAACGAGGTAACCAACTGCAAATCCGAAATTTGCCCAATTCCTCGTATAAGGAAAAAAATCTTTCACGTATAGTCAGTGGGCATACTTGAAGACTGGCCATAAATAAAATTATCTATGAACAGTTCGTTCACGACAGTCTCAACTCCCTACACAGTAGGGTTGTTTTCTGATAGGTGTCAGTCCATTAACCTACTGTGTAGGAAGTTGAGACTGGCGTAAACGAATTGTTCATAGATAATTTGATTTATAGCCAGTCTTCAAGTATGCCCACTGACTATACGTGAAACACATGATTGAATTTATAACTTCTAACAACAATCCTAGCGCGTGCTACTTGTATAAGTTGAACGTTGTGGGTGTACCTACACGGTACAAAAGCAGCAACGTCGTTAGTCTTTAATATTTTGTGATTTGATGCTGTAGAAACTGATGTACCTGGGTAGGTACAATTCCAGTGAAAGGGTTAAGAAGACAAGCGAATGGGAGCATATCTAACACAGGTTTGTGTTGGCTCATAAGACCCAATATACACGGGCGAACACTTCAACGCGTTGCACAATATTTATTGAGACAGACAAATAAATTGTCTCTTCAACCCGATATTTCATGCGTTCAATTCAACGCGCTGCAAATTATGCATTAAAACGAACATTATTGAAATAAATCTCTCTGTATGAGCCAGAAAAGGCACTCGTTTATGTTGGCTCATAAGACTTGATGCATACGGGCGTACAAGTCAATGCGCTGTCTGGAAGTTGTTGAAAGACCCAATATTTTGGGTTAAAACGTTCGTTGTTGTAATGCATTGTCCTTTATGAGCCTCAAGCAAACGAGTGAATGCGAGCGTTTGCGACACTCGTGTGATTTAGCTCGAAAGAGACAAAGTCCATTTCAATGCATAATTTCCGCACCCGAAAAAAATGATACCCCAAAGCACATTCAATACTTTTCACATCGATTTCATGGATATACAGAAGACGTTGTGCCAAACTGGAACTTGATAGTTTCAGAAATATACAAGGTATATGAAGCACTGTTATATCATAAACAGAGCTTCCAAAATATGAATTCAAAAATGAAATGTCATTTATCAATACCCTGCTTATACGGATTCTTTAGAAAATCGGGTAGATTAATTTAGAATGCGGGTTAGTTTCAGAGTTAGGTCCAGCGACGAAGTTACAAGTCCGTCAATCTCACATTTCAAGGACGAGTATTAATTAATTAATCCGACTTTGAAATGTTGATAATAGAACTGTTCACTGTCAAAATATTATGCTTTTCTCGAATAACGTAAGTGTTACGACTATCTCTAATATCCATTGAATATCTAATAAACGTAATAGTTGTTTCATTTCTGATACAGCAAGTCCTACTGCGTCTCTTTGACGACGGTCTGAAACAGACGCATCAGATAAATCAAGTACATCCGTTTCTCCTGAGCAACCTGAGATTTCCTAAGAATTTGACACTATCCTCGGTGGGACTACTAGCCGAAGAAGTTTGCCGTATTCGCGAAAGATTTTTATTGGCGTACGAGAAGGCTCTAATACCTCTTCTAGCTTATGCTGATGAATACAAAGTCCACGTACAACTTTATACGATGGATGTCAATAATTTCATTGAGTGAGTATGTAGATGAGCGAAACAAGTTTTTCATGATGTCAAATTATATTTTATATGAAATTATATGGAGTGATCCACACCACGACATAAAAAATAAAATTATTATACACGCATCGTGGAGAGAAGCCTTACAAACGTAATTGCTGGTTCAAATTTGGCAATTGAAGGCATATTACTATCATTTGACATTTTCAAAAACTACACCTGTTATTCGCTCTTCTTTTTTATTTTCTGAAAAACAAAGCGAGCTACGAAAACAAATCAAGAGATCTCTGTATCTGTAGAGTACGGAGGGTGAGTGTAGACCCACAGCACTCAAGCCACATGTGACCCATTGTACATTCTCCCGAGGAGTTGTCCTCCTTGGTCATCGTCCATCCTATCGTTTCCAGGCAGGTGAACAGGTCACTACGAGACATCTCCTTTATATTGGCAGGTGTAGGCCAAGACTCGCCAAACACACTCTCTCTTTGGCAACCTTGAGGTGTCTCACGGTGGCCTCCGCGAAGCTTTTGGAAGGTGCAGCGACATTACTGTGGTTGCGCCGCTTCTTCAAACTTCTTGGGGTTCCCTTGGTGGGGGTGCACAAGTGAGAGAGCTTTTCTGCAGGGGCAGCCGGTTCCTAGTCTTTATTCCAGTCGGAGCTCTTGGCACCCGCCGCAGAAGGTGCCATTGCTGTTGGAGGTGGAGTGGGGGAGGAGGAGGGTGCATTTATAGTTGCTACCACTTCTGTCTCGTTGGCTCTCTTTCTCCTTTCGGCCTCGGCGCCACAAATGCGTTCACGCCTTGGCCCTTGTATTACATCACGAGGTGACCTGCTATGTCCAGCCTCATTCCAAGCGGTAGATTGGGGTGGACATTTCTGTTGATCCCCAGCCACCGCCTTAGATTGAGGTGAGCACTTCTGTCTAGCCTCGGGATTGATTTTTGTTTTTGTTGTTTCTGTTTTTGTGTTTGTTTCATTCATGTGTGTTCTCACGAGTAGCAAGGGAAAAGTTGGTCACCTCTGGCAGAGCCCCGCATTATCAGAGGTGGGCTGTTTATAATGAGGTTTCGCCAGTTTCCCCAAGGGGATCGTTCGTAATCGCATACGATTCCTTACACCTTAGCTTGGGTAGGCTGGTTCACGGTGGCATGTTTTGCAAAGGCTTTTGGGGAGTTTCAGTTCCCCTCACCCTACTCATTTCTGCCACTGACCAGGCGTCCAGCGACCCCGTCTGTAAGGCCACATTGGCATTGGCAGTACCCTGGCCGTTCCCCTATCCGCCACCTGGGGACGGGCCCGATAGGTAGTCCAACTCACGGGATCAGCATCATATATTAAATAATGAGTATTTTCAGAAAACAACAAGCTTTATCACTTCTAATTTGAATTTGATATTTGAATTTCAATGTTTATACAGGGCTATTCAAATTCGTTTCTGTACATGGGGATCTCGTAAACGATAAGAGATAGAGTGTCGGTTAAATCATGGCAAAGTTGCGTATTTCAGGGAACTATTCAATGATGATTGAATCAATAATTTGGGATTGAATCAATGATTCAATCCCAAATTATTTTTTGCCTATATCTTCTTCATTCGCAGACATATTGAAAATCTCTCCACATTTTGCTATTGGCACTTGATGTGGGCTCTTAGAATATATCCATGAATCTTTTATACAGGGTTTCATCTGACTTGGGCCACCCCATCTTTGAATTTTTAAATACAGATCTGTATTTTTTTTGTAATTTTTGGATCGTAGACGTTCACTTGATACTGAGAAATTAAATTAAATTTTATATTTCGGGATTTTTCGGTAATATTTTATTATGATTAAGTGAATTATTCCCTTTTAAATTACGGCCCTGGAAATTGGTTGACTGAGTTGAATAAAAACATAATAGCAACTTTCACGTCTCCCTATGTACCGTAGAGTTTTTCGAGAGTTGTTTTTTCATTTTTAGGTACCTATTCATATTTTTTCTATTGCTCTTAGCGTTTTCCACAATGAAATTCGAATAAGAAAACCTTTTATGTTTATCTGAAACATATCTACAACAAAAATATATTATATGTGTTTTGATGAGCAGAAAAAAAATGGTAGCAATAATAACATCCGAAACGAACACTATAATTATAATGAAATTTGAAGTGAAGAAAGTAATTTATATACACAAAAAATTAATTGTGCAATAAATGTTCGAATTGGAGTACTTCCATTTCGAGACAAATAATGGGACAATAAGATGGTCTGCCAGATCACCAGATCTTACTATGTTGGATACTTTCTATGGGGGACATTGAAAAATAGGATTTACGCTGGCAGAGAGATAGAAAATGTGGAAGACTCGAGATTGAGAATTTTGAATGATTTCACAACAATGCAGCAAATAGTGTATTAAGGGCAATAAATGATATGAAGAACCGAGTTTAAAAAAATGTTTCGAAATGGAAGGACTCCAATTCGAACATTTATTGCGCCAATAATTTTTTTGGGTACCTATATAAATTACTTCATTTGAATTTTCATTACAATTATAGTGTTCGTTTCCAATGTTATTATTGCTATCATTTCTTTTTCGGCTCATAAAAATCATAAAAAGTTTTCTTATTCGAACTTCATTGTAGAAAACGCTCAGAGCAATGGAAAAAATCTGAACAGGTACTTAAAAATGAAAAAAACTCTCGAAAATCTCTACGGTACATAGGGAGACGTGAAAGTTGCTATTGTGTTTTTATTCAACTCAGTCAACCAATTTCCAGGGCCGTAATTTAAAAAGGAATAATTCACACAATTATAATCGAATATTACCGAAACATCCCGAAATAAAAATTGAATTTAATTTCTCAGTATGGAGTGAACGACTACGATCCAAAAACTACATAAAAAAATACAGGTCCGTATTTAAAAATTCAAAGATGGGGTTGGCCCAAGTCAGATGACACCCTGTATAAAAGATTCATGGATATATTTTGAGAGCTCACATCAAGTGTCAATAGCAAAATGTCTGCGACTAAAGAAGATATAGACAAAAAAATAATTTGGGATTTTTTGGTTTTTCCTGTATAACTCCAGAACCAAAAGAGCTATATTCGATTTTTTTACATCATTGAATAGGTCTCTAAAATACACAACTTTGCCATGATTTAACCGACACTCTATCTCTTATCGTTTACAAGATCCCAATGTATAGCCCTGTATAAACACCTAGTTGATTAAAGAAAACAAAATCTGACTTAAATAAAACCAGAAATATCAAATGTACCACTGATGATGTCTGCCGCAGTAACAGTTGGAACGTATATTACAATATTCTTTGGACCATGGACTAACAGCCCGCTTCTCTTCAAACGTGAGTCCGGCCGTGAGAAACCTCTATTTTCGAACTAAGTTGATTATCTACTCAAAAATGTTATAATTGCCTTTACTACATGTTGTTGACTTCTTTGTATTTATTTGAAAAAATGATTATTACAGTTTACTGTATGATTTTCACTATAAAGGGTTTAACAAAAACCGCGACTCGTGTTTCGCTATACAATAGCTTCCCCAAGCATACACTTTCATTTATCGTTCGAGTAGAGTATGATAAAACATTTTTTATATATATTTTGACGAATAAAATTTGTCTTCATTATTATTACAGATATTTTTCAGCTTCCGAAATTTTCCATGTCATTCATCATTCTCAATCTATAAGATCTTGGACGTAGTAACCTTGTTGCTTACGTTCATTGATATATTTTTCAGTCCAATTTATACAATGTTTGAAATATCTCGAATAACTTTTTTTCAGAACTTACAAGAATGAACAGCATACTGCATCCGAAGTGAAAGAGGAAGTCTCATTGCATCACAGGCTTAAAAATAGTTTGGAGGTAACTCTTCCGAACATCATTTTCATTGGGCCATTTTATGTATCTATAGACCATCTAAGGCTGTTTTTAATATCAAAAAGACAAGAAATCTGCCAGAAACTGCTGCATATGTTTGAGACCCGCATGAAAATATGTGTTGAAGAGGTATTATTTTCCCCAAAAACTACATTTTGAAATGATGAAAATTTTCAAATAAAATAGTTTTCATGGATTCCAAGAAACAAAAACGTTCATGTAGGGAACAGAAAATAGATGACAATTGAATGAATAATTTCAATATCAATAATGGAAATAGTGTATAATTCATTAAATATCTGTGCTATGGAAAATTCAATAAAACTCCCGAGTTCCTGTTATAGATAGATAGATAGATAGATAACTTTATCACCTCATTAGCCACATAAGTGTAGGTTCGTTAGTTACAATCATCGGATACAACCGGATACAATCATTAAAATCTAACATTATATTGAAAAAAAATATAAAAAAAAGGTAGAATTAATGATACAAAAATGTTAAAGAAACAGTACAATAAACAAGTATTCTCACCCAGATTTGAATGCAAAATTTCTATTTATTAACATTTAGAAGATCTACGAATTCTTGAATATTATAAAGCGGATTGTCAGCCAGTAGAGTTTTTACAAGCTTTTTGAATCTGTTAACGGTGGTATTTTTTATTTCCTTCGGCAGCAGGTTATAAAAGTAACTTCCTGCCCACTCTGGTGATTTTTTATACGAGAGGTGCTTGAAGCCTCTGAGATGTATATTCTCCTGTTTTCTCGTAGAGTATTGATGAAGATCTGAATTTTTTTGTAGGTTGATGATATTCCTATGTGTGTCTATCAATAATTTGAATAAATATATACCTGTTACGGTAAGAATTTTTTGAGATTTAAAAGTTGGTCTACACGATTCACGGTATTCCAGGCTATATATTAATCGAATAATGCGTTTCTGGATCATGAATACCCGGTTCCGTTCTGTAGCTTGTCCCCATGTGGTGATATTATAGCTAATAGCTGAGTAGGCTAAGGCGTAATAAACGTTTAGCAGGGATGATCTGTTCAAGGTTGATTTCAGTGAATATAGGGCAAAAAACGATTTGTTCAATCTCTGACATACGCTGTTGATTTGATCAGACCACATAAATTTTTCATCAATAATTGTGCCGAGAAAGGTATTGGTCGGGCTGGTAGTGACCATAAAATTATCTATTTTGATTGATATATTATTGGACAGTGACCTAGGATTTGTGGAAAATTGCATAATTTTAGTTTTTTCCGAATTGAGAATTAGACGGTTATATATCGCGTTCCAAACCCCTCTGTAACGCAGAAACGGATGTGTAATCGAAAATTTTACAAGACACATCAATTTTAATTTCTAGTGGGACTAATTATGATATGGAAATCATATCCGAAACTTCACCGCCCTGCGGTGAGCAACTACCCCTGTACATTAAAAATACAAATTATATAGCGAAAGTACATAAATGGCGTTATCAGTGGACTGTAATTTCAATTGTAATTAATTTCGATACGAGAGCATCAAAGTTACCTGATAGTTGGAGTTTTCCTCTTGTATAAGCTGCAATGGGTTTTCTCAGGAGCTCCTTGGAATGGTTTCCAGCTAACTTAACTGTTGATGCATATACTCGTTGAAACAACATTCACAAAAGGGATAAATAGCGGAATATCGAGGAGATAGCGAACGCACTGATTATATCGTTTTCAAAACGGTTGCGATTCAACTTCAAAATCATTCACAACACACTCAATCTTCTTTCTGTGTAAGTCATAAAAAAACATAAACAAAAAACTTTGAATGCTCGGTCTCGCGATAAAGACATCGAACTGAGAAGTGAAATGTTGCCGGTTTTCCGAACAACCCCCCTATTTTTTTCAATGGCATGGGGGGTCAAGTGATACATCAATTGAAAAGTATTTTGTTCCTCTAATACTTCTGTAATTTTTTTTTAAATTGGTTCATTCGTTATTGAGAAATTAACGTTGAAGGTTTTATTTAAGAACAAAGAACAAAAAATTTGCTATTGAGGAAATCAACAAAAGTAATATCAATGGCAACACAATCAACATATAAAATGTTCAAACTGACCTTCAACCAGTTCCATACAATAATACAGTCTACTTTCGAAAGCGTTCCTTACATTATTGAAGATGTCTGGAGTCGGAAATCGGCATTCCCGAACAATTTTCTGTCGCAGGTCTTCTATTTAACGTACTGATGGGTCACGTTGTGGTCTGGATGATTCGTATTATACAGGGTGTAACATGAGTACATTAAAATATTCAAGTGATGTATTCCTGAGACAATTTTAAGAAAAAAAGTCTATATAAATTTGTGTCCGAAAATGCTTCGTTTCGGAGATACGGGGTGTTAAAATCGAATTTTTTTGTTGGCTTTCAGAAAATAACTCTTGGAAAAAATAAGTTATCTGCACGAAATTCGGTACCCGGGGTTTTTTGACATGAGAAATCATAATTTCTTATTAATTTTCATGTAACATCTAGAGAGTGCTGCGTACGCTGTCATTATTCATTTCAAATTGCCCTAACTTTTTTGACAGTAAAACTTTGGTACTTTTCATGGAAAAACCTAACTTCCACACCTTTTCCAAGTAAAAAAGGTATACTTCCTCAACAACGCTGGAGATGATCGTTTTCGAGATATTTACAATTTTCTATATCGATGCATAATACTTCATAGCCAAATTTGATTTCAATAATTTTTGTCACTCTCCGCTTGCAAATTAAGTTAATTAAATCGAGTAGGCTATGAAAGTTTGTTTACAAAAATTAAAGTTCGCTGTCTTATTTTTAACTATTAATTGACAAATTCACAGTTCGAAGTTTATAAATTAATTTTTTGGTACCATGCCCGACTTTACGAATGCTGAAATGGCTGATATGGTTTTTGCATACGGCCCGGCTGACGGAAATTCAAGCGAGGTTAGACGCATCTATCAGGAAAGGGATCCCCAACGCGTGACTCCTTGTGCAGCGATATTGCGAATCTTTTCCTGCGACTTTCCGAATCTGAAAGCTTTGAAACAAATTCTGTAGTAGGACGGCGACGGACTACAAGAACTGTAGAATTGGAGGAGGCGGTTCTCGAAGAAATTAGTGAACATCCAGAGACAAGTACAAGAAAAATTAGTCAAACTTTGAATGTGAGTCACATGACAGTTCACAGAATTTCAAAGGAACAGCAATTATATCCTTATCATATTCAGCGTGTCCAGGCACTTACGCTACGTGATTTCCAACCATGTATCCAATATGCTTAATGGCTTCAAAGAAAAGTCGAACTACATCCACAAATTTTATCGAAAATCCTCTTCACAGATGAGGCAACTTTTTCAAGAAATAGTATCAAGAACTTCCATAACAACCACATCTGGGCGGAAGATAACCCACATGCGATAACACAAACTCATTTCCAAAACAGATTTTCTTTTAATGTATGGGTAGGCATAATTGGGGATTATTTAAATGGGCCCTATTTTCTCCCCTTACGTTTGAATGGAGATGCTCACCCACATTTTTTGGAACACGAGCTTCCTCAACTTATGGAAGATGTTCCCATTGGTCTCCGAAATCACTCTTGGTTTATGCACGATGGAGCTCCTGCTCATTACATTGTGATAACGAGAAATTTTTCAGAGGTAGCATATTTCCAACGATGGATAGGAAGAGGAGGCACTGAGCATTGGCCCCTGATGTCACCGGACCTCAATCCCGTCGATTTTTTCTTTTGGGACATCTAAAATCACTAGTTTATGCTAGCCCTATTGAAAATGAGGAAATGTTGAGGGATCGCATCATAGCTTGCTGCGATACGATAAGAAACACTTCGAGCATTTTTCATCGGGTGCAGAATTCTTTGATGAGGAGAGCAGAAGCTTGTATTACTGTTGGGAGTCGTCACTTTGAACAGTTGTTGTAATAGTTGTTTCGTTCAATTTTTATATGTTTATTTTCCTAATAAATAACATAGTACTTCTCCGAATTGTTTTTTTTACAAACTCCGAAATGAAGCAGTTTCTAATTGAATAATTAAACCTGACATTTTTTTAAATTTGGATTGAATAAGCAGTTCGATAATGCTCAGTTCAAAAGAAGTCTGTACGGGTATACTGCGTATAAAGTTTGATGAAAATAACTAAAATTGCAAAAAACTTATCGCAAAAACCTACCATGTTTAGAAAACTTTCAATAATCTGTATTTCGAAAACGAATCATTCTTCATTAAACATTTTATAGGAAAAAGTTGTTTATTTTTACACGATCCTCCACATACTTAATTTTTGTACTATTCTCAGCAACTTCACTTAGCGCTCTAGGAGCTAAGTAATATGCATCGATATAGAAAATTGTAAATATGTGGAAAACGATCACCTCCAGCGTTGTTGAGAAGGTGTATCTTTTTCACTTGGAAAACGTGTGGGAATTAGGTTTTTTCATGAAAAGTACCAAAAGTTTACTGTCAGAAAAGTTAGGGCAATTTGAAATAAATAATGACAGCGTACGCAGCGCTCTCTAGATGTTACATGGAAATTAATACCAAATTATAATTTCCCACGTCAAAAAAACCCCGGGAACCGAATTTCGTGCAAATAACTTATTTTTCGCAGGAGTTATTTTCAAAAAGCGAACAAAAAAATTCAATTTCAATACCACGTATCTCCGAAATGAAGCATTTTCGGGCACAAGTTCATTTAGACTTTTTTTCTTAAAATTGTCTCAGGAATACGTAACTTGAATATTTTAACGTACTTATGTTACACTCAGTATATTTTTGCAGCAGCTTCAGCACATTTATTATTTCGATAATAGGTTGCAATAATTTTTATTCTTTATCCAGTAGAATAAACCATGTTGGTACACAGTGCACAAGGATGACTCAATATAATTCGTGAAGAAGTGACAGTGGTCAACTATCTACTTTTTGTTCTGCAACAACTAGATTCAACAAAACCTACTAGTGCAGAAAAAACTAACAGTGTCGTCCAATTGAAAACGTTTAGAAGACCTGCGACAGAGAATTGTTCGAGAATGCCGATTTTTGACTCCGGACATCTTCAATAATATAAGAAACGCTTTCGAAAGTAGACTGTATTA